TTCGACAATCATTTCTAAAATTTGCAGTTTATTAGACCAAAAATCGCGAAGTTCATTTTTGGAAATTCCTTTAAAAATCTTAGAATGGATGAAATTTGGCCACGTGGCACAGCAATAATAGGTCTTTAGACCGTGCAAAACATAGGAATTCTAAATCTAAATCAGCGACTAATAATAATTTATATAATTGGAAGATTAATTGTTTCCTTACAATTCTTACTTTATGATCACTGAAACCGTATTGTCATGAGTCATAACATGTTCAGGTCTAATAGTAACAAAATCATCACTTTTTACTTTGTAACCTTTTGGTAAGTTTAATGCAAATTTTTGTACGATTTTTCTATCAGATTCTCTGTGTGCGTAAACTTTCTTTATTTTGAAGTGGATTAACATCCAACCTCTTTGATTTATTATTAACAGTATATATTTCTTAATTGTAACTCATGTCCATTGTAGGATTCTATTTATAATCATTCATATATGTTAATTTGGACAAAAAGTATCGCACAAATTGACTATGTAGAAACGTTTCCCATTGTTTATAAATATTTTCTTGTCTTTGCCAATCTATATATACTTTTACGTTTCTTTTTTTGTCGTGATGACACGACTGAGGATTGATTTAATATTAAAATAAGTTTACTTGTCACGTGTTTATCTTTATTTTATAAGTTTTCTACGCACATCTTGTAAGTTTTAAAGATAGATTGATTGTATGTAATAATTAATTTCACAATTACTTATTTCCGAGTTTCAAGTACGTATATAAGAGTGAATAATCTATATATATTTCCAAGTAGTGTGCACAAAAAACAATAAAATCTTTAATTAATGCAATTGTGCATTTCAAATAATTATAAATCAAAAACCTTAGATTTAAGAAATTTGAAGTATACAAAAATGGTGTTGAATTTATAATGCAAGTCTTGGTTAAGTTCAAATTGCACCAAAGAAATAAGTAATATAAAAGTAGGAATTTTAGGTGTAAAGGTTGAATGAATAGGATCAACGTGTCTGTAAGTTCAGAAAACTTATCAGGCCTGGAGGTTCGCAAATATATATTACAATCCTATTAAGTTTCATATGTAGAAAAAGAACACTTGATTATATAACATGTGTTTATTATATATATATATATTTTTAATCAACATTCATAAAAATCCCGACGATGTACTTATGTATAAAGAGAGCTCTGTTGGAAAGCTCTCCTGTGGAACCAACCATTTTCCTGAAGAGCCAAGTATGATAATTATTAAATATTACAGAATAATTTTATCATCATTGATAAATTTATTATATATACTGTTGTCATCATTCTGCGTCGTCAAAATTAATTTATCATGCATCAATATCATTGCTCATTTAAACATATATAATCGTACAGGTTTACTTGTCGAGTACGTGCTACCCATCCAATATTTTAATATCAGATCGCCTAGACTCAAATTTCTTTGAATCAAACTAGACTTACACCCATATTGATATCGCATGATATAGAGTCGACACAATTCTACTATCTACCATGAATTGATTAACATTGCTATTCATTTAAGACACGAACAACCTATAGGTTCACATGCCAAGTATGTCCACAATATCTGTTGTCTCATTGACACATGACCTATGGAGTTTACATGTAACCAGAGACCTATAACGCCTCGGAATTCAAACTTCACTCGAATCCAGACTTGTAACTATATCAATACACGCACGGTAGCCTTGTCTTCATTTTCTTCGTCGTCGTTTTCTTTTCTTCTATTGCCGCTTAACGAGACACTAACACACGGCTAGGTTATCTGTAATAAGTTAAAAGGATGTTGGTCATCATATAATAAAAATCGTTTGTACATTCTTGAAAATTAACCATATGAAAAATAATAGTTTCTTTCCCAAAATAGTAATTTCATAAGGGAAAACTAAACTTCTCACACTCTGATAATACTTGCACAAATACTATTACTTTTTTTTCTTTTCTTTTATCCATTCTTAACGTTAATAAATAAATAAATAAATAAATAATATTTTTGTGATACAAGGTTCTTGATCATAATTTCAAATAGAAAAGTAAAAAAACAACTTCTTTGCCAACAAGCTGGCAGCAGATTATGTAGTTTTCTTGGATCATGTTCATTCTTATCTCGAACTGCCTTGTTTTCTATAAGGAGAATTTCTTTTTTTTTAGTTAAATTGATAATTATTAAATGAATAAATATATGTAATGATAATAATGCTTAGTAGTAGTAGTAGTAGTAGTAGTAAAAGATCTTTCTTTTTGCAAATGGGGCTTTTTTAAACAAACGTGTGAATGAGATTTGCTTTATAATAATGAAATTTGTAATCAATCATGTGGATAACAAAAATAACGGCTTACCAAAAATGGTATAATAATAATAATAATTTTGGGTCTCAAAGATTTGAAGATTTCAAAACGTACTCAATAAAGAAATGAATGATTATTAATTTCGTATTACATAATTTGGATTATTTTTTTGTTTTCTGTTCTCTAGCCCAATTTATAAGGGTTTTAAATTTTGACACCCTCTTGTATCATTTGATGGATAATCATTGTTAATATTGTAATTTCATCTAGTATTGTATTAGTAATGAATGGAATTAGCATTAGTGTTAGTACAGGGACCGATGATTTTGCATAATATTGCATATTATCACATGATCAACATCATTATAAAAAAAAGGAAATTTTATATGGGATACTTCTATTGAGTGGAATCGTTGAAAATCATCGCAAAAGTGAAGCTCATGAAAATTAAAAATTTTTGTACATAATTACTTGCATGCATAATTGATAGTTCATCGCCGCATAAAATCATCGTCCCTGTGTTAGTGTTTAGAAAAGGGGTTATGGCTTTTTTTTTGTAACTGAAAAAAATATTTTAAAATGGCGTGAATTTTATTAGTTAAATCGAGTATGATTTCTAATCACTTGTAAAAAATTGCATAATAATAGTGGTAATGGGTTATTGCCATGATAAAAAAGAATTCGGGGTAATTACCATAACACTATAAACTAAAATCGATAGTAACAAGCATTATTAAATTAAAATGGTTAGCAATTTGCCTATCACTAATGTTGAATTCATTTTCTGGTTTGGGGAAGCCTATTGCAACGCTGTAGTAGTAATAGTACATGATGCATTAATTAATAAAGTGTAATCTATACATTATAAAGTTGGAGAGAAAGATATATTATGAACAGATAGGCCGAAAGCGAGTATTCTTTGTATACGAAACAGGAAGTCACTATTTCCGTTTTGATTACATGGAATTCCTATGATGTCAAAATCACCATAGCGAGTGAAACCTTTTATGGATTAATTATTGATTTTGAGTTGTTAAATAAGGGTTCCTGCTCTTATATTGTTACTAGAATATCAATAATCAAAGGCTTATTTACTAATGCAATCATTAATTGGCACAGGCTATTTTATCAGCAAGTTTAAAATTTTAGGTGAAGATATTAGACCCTGTTTGCTTAATAAAAAAATGAGGAATTGTGCCCTAGATACTTTCTTAAAAGTAATTAAAATGATCTACATACACTATTTTTATTGTTTCTATATAATTGTCATAACGTTCACAAAATTGCTTTGAAAACATAGGCTTTAAAAATTTTATACAATAGGAAAAGATAATTACCAGAAGGAATATCAAAAGGAGTAATACAACTTTGAATATGGTTTTTGATTTTGTTCAAAAGATTCATCATGGTGGTGAAAAGATTCATATTCGTGACATGTGATAATTGTTCAGGATAGAATAAAAATAACTTATCACTCTGTTAATGACATTAGGTTGGTATGAAAATATCTATATAATAATAATAATAAATTTTATGATTCCTGATGATTTTTGGATCAACCAAAAAAGTATATAGATTGTTGATCATGTTGAAGAAGCTATAAATGATTCAACAATAATAAGCCTCTTAGATATAAAAATGACATGGATTGGAGATGGTACAACTTTAGCTCATTATTCAAAGATAATTGCCAAATGTAGTAGTAGTGATGATATTGGGAAAATTATTTTTCTAAAAAGTCTGGTGATCCAAAATTCCTTTTAAACTTTTAAAGAGTAATAATTCTAATAAGGGTGGCCAATCCATAGAAAAAGATATTTGTCCACAAAAATTCCTCAATATTAATATGTAGAAAATCCATTTAAAGATATCCATTGTCCAGAATCTTTAATGTAAAAGCTTGTAACATCCACTATTTTTGCAAAATTTGTTCCCAAACATCAATAGTAAAAAATGCTTCTTTTAAAGAGAATAATCTTTTGACACAGAGATTTATAAATCCATCAGTTAGAACTTGAGATAAAGGCCATGTAACAAGGCAATAAAATGAATTTCTTTACCTACTTTTGAATCTTACATGCGATATACAAAAGTTAAAAAATAATTATCAAATAGCAACATTAGTTATAGACAACAGTGAGCTAGACATTCTGGCAAACTCTTATGGCAGTGACTTTTGAAATGGATCCAGAATGGCAAAATGTCACACATGACGTTATCTCGATTATGATAATCTGGAGAGCATAATCGTCACGTATGCATGCATGCAGAATACAATGAAGTTTGTCATCGGGTTTGAAAAATATCATATTAATATCAGCTGAGCCATAAAAAAATTACAAAGGAACCCCAAATTTAATAGTCAGGTGATATCAGCCGACTCTAAATTTTTTTTACACGACTAACCAACCAATTGTTCTGTAACCAACGGAGAATCATTTCTGAGTTTGGTTCGGCACTGAAAGTAAACTAGTCAAATGTTTATTAAATTTGGGTTTATGTTTATTACCCTCAAAAAAAGGCAATCTATATATGTAATTTCCGAGGTCCTATTTTGATAATACAAATAGAACAACATATTCATTATAATATTTTCTTTCTATTATGATAATAAAAAATCAATAATTTTTCTTTACTACTACCACAACCACCAATACCATCACCTTTAATATTCAAATCATTCAATCTTCAAATCATTCAATCTGCCACCACCACCGCCAATAAAATTAAAATTCCTTGAATCATTGCATAAACAACCCACAAACCCACCACCATCATCAACTTTCTCAACTTGTATAGTTAACTCTTCCAATCCACGTATACGAGACTTTAATATTTCGGTAATTGTGTTGATGATAACATTTCGTTCTTCTTCAACAATATCATTTCCATCTGTTTTGTTATTACTATCTTTATTAATACTTTTATTCTCTGCAATCTGAATATGTATACTACCAATCAAACACTCGCCATCATTCGGCCAAAATCTCGGCATTGTATAAGATATGATACCAGCGATATTCAACACCTCCTCCAACGCTTCATTTATTTGATTTTCAAGTTTCTCGTTGTTGGACAGCATTAGAACTGATGCAGAATGTTTTATTAACGGGATGACACTCATGAAAATCAAACCCGCTATCAACATTGATGCCAATGGATCAAAACCTGTCCAACCAAACCGTTGTATTAATAAGGTGGATATAATAACTCCAATTGATCCAAGTGTGTCAGCTAATATATGAAGATAAATTCCTAAAGGTGATATGATTATGAACAAAAAAATGAGATAATAATAATATTATTATTATGATTTAATTTAAATCATTTTATTTAATAAACGAATACAAACCTTGCATATTAGCATTGTCTCCGTGATCATGATTATGGTGATGATTATGACCATGGTTGAGATTAAAATTAAAATTATGATTATGGTGATTGTGATTATTATTATTATTATTATTATTATTATTATTATGACTGTGACTATAACTATGATTATGGTGTTGTTTATGTAAATTTATGTGATGGTTGTGATTAGAATGTCCATTATTACTATTACTATTATCACTATTATGCTCATGGTGGTGATGTTCATGACTATGCCCATGATGGACGTGGCCATGATGTGCATGATTGTGATGTACATGGCCATGATGTACATGATTATGACCATGACCATGATGTGCATGACCATGATTAAAAGCCAATATACCAACCAAATTAACAACCAATCCCAAGAAACTAACTAATAATAGTCTATCCGTATTCATCTCTGGTGGATTTATTAATCTACCTATTGCCTCAAACATTATAAATATGGATATGAAAACAAGAAAGATCCCATTTGCAAATCCTGAAAGTGTTTCTATACGTCCATAACTTATATTTATTTATACAAGAAAAAAACAAAAGAATTAAAATTTAATCATTATTTTTTTCAATATAAAATCAATTATTTTAATGATTTTACCCGTATGTAAATTTATTATTTTCAGGCCATTTGCTCATTATAGCCGCTAGTAATCCTACCGCTAAAGCCAAACAATCAAAGAACATGTGAATAGCTAAATTTTTTTAAAAAAATAAAAATATATGTAAATAAAAATAAATAAAATTCATTCGTAAAAAATATCAATTAATCAATTATTTTTTCCAATATCTTTTTTTAAACATACCACATCCTTACCATCCGAAATCAAACCCAAACTATTTGTCCAAAATCCATAAACCATTTGAACAAACATATAACTTAAATTTAGTAATAGAAAATAAAATATTTGTCGTGAATCACTATTATCTAATAATGTTCTAATATAATTATTAAACAGCGTTATAAAAAGTCCTCCTGATTCTCTTCTTAAATGATGAATGTTTGAATTATTGTTCATGATATTATTATTGTCGTTGTTATTATAAATTGGAAGTTCAAAAGATTTAAAATTTACTCCAGTTTGCGATGGGAAAAGTGTTTTTGTGGTGGAATAATTTTCAACATGCATTGCTATTCTATTCCATAAGGATATCTGATTTAAAAATTTTTAAAAAATACAAATTTTTTGACATATAAATATATATGCAAGATCACGTGGTTGAAATTGCATTAATCTCTTGCAAGGTTAGATTGATTTTTGAAATAAATGGCCACGTTTGATATTGATATATATATATAAAACCAAGAAATAAAACTCAAAATTTATTTTGTTTATTTTCCATTAAATTAATTAAATAAAATTTTTTTATTTATTTTTATCCAATACACCAAACGCTTCTTCAATTCCACATTTCTCTCGTGGTTTATCTTTTTTTCTTCCCTCTTCGATTTCCTTCTCTTCAATTTTTTTCCAATCATTATAGGAAACAACACGTACGCCGCGTTCTTTAAGAATGGGCAATATGGCATTTATGCCAGGTTTAGGTGATGATGATGAATTATCATCTAGATGAGATAATGATCCTGATAACATTGGTTTATTCTGTTGTATATCAGATATTATTGTTTCAGCTGTTTCAAATGCATCATACATTGTTGTTGCTATAACTCCTTGTGGACCTCGTTTTAGCCATCCTGATACATAGAGACCTGGTAACTATAATTTGTAGTTTTAACATTATTTCTTCTTTATAAAAGAAACCATTTATTAATATTAAACTACCTCATTATTGCTTTCCAACTCTATTATTTTTCCTTTGTCATTAGGAACAATTCCTTTTTTCTCATCAAAAGGTAAACCATGCACTGGCACACTTTTATAGCCGACACTTTTCAACAACAAACCACACTCTAAAACATCTGATCCTTTAGTTGAAATTGCCACGCGTTTCTCAGCTGGACCCTCAAGTCGATTAACGCTAAACTTTACAGCTTTAATATACCTATTATCATAATTACTATTACTTGCGTCAGCACCAGTATTGACATTATTGTTAGTGAATATTAATTCTAACGGACTTCTCAGGTATTTAAGCGTCCAGGATTTTTCACCTGATGTATCCATCGTTACTCCTTTCTCTAAAATTTGTAATATTCTCTTGAGCGTACGATCTTTAGCGATTAATTGCTCGTTTTCTTTTATTTCTGATCTAAGTAATTCAACATCTATGTGAAAACGTGTATTGGGCAAATTTATCATTTCGCGTAATTCTTTTGCTGTAAATGACATCTAATAAATAATAACAACATTATTATTATAATAATTATTACTTATAAGCAAAAAAAATTGGCAGCCAAATTTTCAATAATTAATTTACTTGTAAAGGGCCTCTACGACCAACAAGAACCACATGTTTAATTTCGCTTTTTTTCAAAGCTTCCAAAGCATACTCTGTAATATCAGTCTTACTCAATTTATCAATATCCATCAATAAGATCCTCGCGACATCTAACGCTACATTACCATGACCAATAACCAACACAGTATCCGATCTTGACAAATCAGGATTCAGATGACGATATTGTGGCAAGCCATTATACCAACCAACAAAAGCTCTAGCCGAAAATACATTTTTTATCGGGTTACTATTGTCATTATCATTATCATTATCATTTTTTATTCCAAGTGATTTTTCCTTGCCGGCCCCGTACGAAAAAACGATTGCGTCATAGGTTTGTTTTAGATCGTCGATCGTGAGATCATGACCGAATTTTACATTTCCTATGAATTGATATCTTGAATCATTTGCAACTTCGTCAAATCTGTGTTGAACATTCTATGAATTATAGGTGTTACTTAAAAATGGATTTATATATTATATACAGTCAAACCTTGTCACAGCAGACCTCGCCACAGCGAACTATAATTAAACTTCTTGTTATAATGGAAGTTTTGCTTCACATATAAAAACCAGATTAGCAATTTTGCCATAACGGATTTTAAACTCATGTGTCTCGTTCATCCGCTGTGACAAGGTTTAATTGTATTGTTTATATTTGTTTTATTGTGAACAAAAAAAGTAATAATAATCAAGTTTTTAGGATTGATTGATAAGTAAATACCTTGACATCTTGGTGATCAGGAGCAACACCATATCTAACCAGACCAAAAGGCATAGGGAGAGCTTCATACATGTCTATCATCATCAATGGTTGATGATGATATTTTTCTTTTAGTAAACGATAAGCTGTATAAAAACCGGCTGGGCCACTTCCAATTATTGCCAAGCGAAAAGGCTTGGTCACATTGGAAGTTGTTATCGAAGTTGTTGCTGAAGTTGTTAAAGTTGATGATAACAGGTTTTTGCTTATTCTTTTGGTAATAATAACATTATCCTTATTATTGATAGTAACATGATAAAGGTTACGTAGTAGTTTCATTTTGTTTTTGTTGACAAATTTATAAAAAAATTATTTTAATGGGATGAATGAAAAAATCTAAAAATTTTTGGTGGACCATGTGACAAAGTGGCGATAAAGTGAGTGACAAAGTGACAAAAACTAAAAAAGAAAGATTTTCAAAATTCAGATGATTGTATTAACAATTTATAAATGATCATCCAAAATTTTTTAAAAACTTGGTTTATGGTGTGTTACTTGCTTTTTTATTAATTAATTTAATTAATTAATTTGTAAATTATAAAATAAAAAAAAAATCATTTATTTATTTTTCTTGTAATTGTTTCCCAAGAAAGCAATAAAGTTAAGCATACATAAATTTGTTTGTAATTATAAAAAATAAATAAATAACAAATTTTCACCTATATATAAATATATGCTGCTGATTTATTATATAATCACAAAAAAAACTTTTTTATTAAAAAAAAAAAATTGAAAAAAAAAAATAATAAATAATTAACAATTTTTGAAAAAAAATTAAAAAAAAAATATGGCAGAAATGTACGAAGAGCCTCAACTCACATCTTTTGTAGAAAGACCGGACTACGGTAATATAGGAAGAAGTATCCAAGTCCGAACAAACTTTTTTAGGATTCTTGACTTGCCTGAGGCAAGCTTTACCCATTATGATGTTACAATAACTCCCGATGTGCCGCCTCCAATCAACCGAAAAGTTGTTGGAACCTTCGAAGCACAACACAGAAATGATGTATTAGGTGGAATGCGGCTTATTTTTGATGGTAATGTTTTGATATCATAAAGAAAGAAAAAATCAATTATTAAATTAAACGTGATTTTATCTTTTTGATTAAAAAATATATTATAATTAATATTGATAATATAATTTTTCAAGGTCGTAAAAATATTTTTACGTCGAGGCCCATGCTTTTAACAGAAGGTGATGCTGGAACATACGAGGTAATAATAAATTAGAATCAGAATTAGAAATTAAAATTTTAAATTGATCAATTTTACATTTATAAATTTTATTCATCTATACTCACACACGTATGAATCAAATTAGATAACACTTCCAGAAGATGACGGAATTGTTAATCCTAGACGTATTCCTAGAAAATTTACAATTAAGATAAGAAAGGTAGGCATGATTGATTATAGAGATTTAATGCGGCATGCTGAAGGAAAGCGTGCTTCTATAAATAACGTATTAAAAGGTAAAATAATTTGTTATTATCACCATCAGTATCATCAATATAATACTAAATCCATATTTGTTCTTTATAATTATATTGATTAGCGTTAATGGCCATCGATATTCTCATTCGACAAGAGCCGTCAATGAATTACGTTACGGTCGGAAGATCATTTTATACAACAAATGATACTAGCCATTTGCTTGGAGGATTAGAAGTAAGGAGAGGATACTATCAATCAGCGAAATGCGGTCAAAGTATATTATTCTAATCAAATTTTACATAAATTTATTTTGTTAAATTACTGCTAATAAATTGACATATATTCTTTCCATACAATTATAATAGAACAACTATATATCAATCTCGACATAACAGCAACCGCTTTTTACGAATCGTGTTCGTTAATAATGTCGATTGCTAAGATCTTAGGACGTAGAGGTCCTGAAGACCTTAGAGGCGGTATGACCGACTACGATCATCAAAGGCTCGAAAGAGCAATTAAAGGATTAAAAATACGCGTCGTTCATCGCGGCGAGACGCAAAAAAAAAGAAAATTAAGAATAAGAGGGATTACACCCACTCCGGCCGATAGAACGTACTTTCAATCAGAAGGACAAGAAGACAGGAGTGTTGCAGAGTATTTTGCAACTACGTATCGTCGTCGGTTGAATTTTCCGTTTTTGCCATGTGTAGTGGTGAACAACAATAACACATTCCTCCCAATGGAAGTCTGCGAGGTTGTGGAGGTAAATAATTAAACAAATTATTAAAAGAATAAATTATTATTATTGATATTGATTTAAAAAATTCCTTTTTAAAAAGGACCAAAGGTACACAAGAAAATTAAACGAAAAACAAACAGCCGAGATGATAAAATTTACATGCGTTCAGCCGCATGCTCGAGCAAATAAAATTCTGGACGGGTTTAATATTTTAAATTACCGTGATAACGAATACCTGAGGCAGTTTGGACTTAGGGTGAGCGGGGAAATGGAGATAGTATGTATTTTTATTTTTATTCTGAAAAATCAATACTATTATTCTCGCTTATTTATTACTCGTATTATACTATTAAAGGTTCCAGCCAGAGTATTGCCAACTCCTACGATACAATACCATCCCTCTTCACGTGATGCTAAATTCCAACCAAATAATGGTATTTGGAATTTAAGGGATAAAAGGGTAGCAACTGGAACAACTTTAGGCTCCTGGTCTGTAGTTGTTTTTTCATCAGAAAGGGAATATCCGCCACAACCAGTAAAACATTTTATAAGGGAGTTGGTCTCAACATGTCAAAATACTGGGATGGTAAACATGAATTATTTTATTAATAAAAGTAATTCATTTTATTTGTTTATTTTATTATTTATTTATATTTATTTTTTGATTTTTTTAGAAAATTCCCAATGTAAATCCACCCGTAATACATGCAAATCCTCAAGGGGATATTGAAGGAACCCTAAAGCAGGCCTGGCTTCTTGCTGGTAATCATGCAAAAGCACAACCACAGATGATATTATGTATACTACCCAACACGGGTGTTGACCTATACGCTCAAATAAAACGGGTATCTGATACTGTAATTGGTGTAGTGACGCAATGCGTCCAAGGACGTCATATAATGTCTCCGAAAAAACAATATTGTGCGAACGTGTGTTTAAAAATAAATGTTAAGCTTGGCGGGATGAATTCTTTTCTGCTACCAGAAGAAATTCCATTTATAACCGATGTGCCAACAATTTTGATGGGTGCCGATGTTACTCATCCAGGACCAGGTAATAATCATTACTATATTAATGAAAATTAATATTATTATAATGGTGGTTATTATTACCACCATCATTAATTATATCATCAACATTATCATCAACATCATTTTCATCTAATAATTATCATTTAATTAGGATCCACAAATAAACCGTCGATAGCTGCATTGTGTGCATCTATGGATGCCAAGGCATCACGATATGCTGCATCCATACGAATACAAAAGGGTAGAACCGACATCATAGCGGACCTGTCAAATATGGTAAAAGAGCTCCTAAAAACCTTTTACCAAACTTGTGGAAGAAAACCAGATAGGATTTTATTTTATCGCGACGGTATTTCTTATGAACAGTTTAAAAAAGTGTTGGACGAAGAAATAAATTCAGTCAGAGGTAAATTATATAAATGTAAAATATATAAACGTATCTTCGTAAATGTATTTATTAATAATAATTATTATTTTTAATATTAGTTGCATGTCAGGCACTCCAAGCTGATTATGCTCCAAAGATAACATTTATCGTAGTGCAGAAAAGGCATCACACAAGATTTTTTTCTATGGATAGGCGAGACGCAGATAATACCGGCAATTGTTTGCCTGGTACTGTCATTGAACGTGGAATCACGCACCCTATCGAATTTGATTTTTGTAAGTTGTAATTTGGCATCTACGATATATTTTGTAACTACAACATGTATTTCAAATATACTAATATATTATGCTATATAGACTTACAAAGCCAGGCGGGTTTACAGGGAACCTCGCGACCAACACATTATCACGTTTTATACAATGAGAATAACCTTCGTGCAGATCAGTAAGTTGTAATAATATCATCAAATTTTTAATAGATAATTAATAATAAAAATAACTTTTTGATTATATGAATATGAATTTGTAAATGTATAGGATACAAACTTTATCGTACAATTTATGCTACTTGTACGCAAGATGTACGAGATCTGTTTCCCTGGTATGATGATTAATGTCATCACTTATTAATATATCTTTAAATAAACGTATTAAAACAATGATAACGATGATATTATTGTTGTTGTTATGATTAGGTTCCTCCTGTATATTACGCGCATTTGGTATGCAATAGGGCGCGTTTTCATTCACGGGAACATTGGAGCGACACAGAGTCTTCCGAGAGCGCTGGGAGTGCGTCTACATTTAGTGTCGTAAAACCTGAATTACAAAAGGTAATTAGTTATATATATTTGTTTTTTTATTTATGGTTTGGAAATTGGGAATCTAAATAATTTTTTATTAATCTTTTTACCAGGTTATGTACTTTATGTAAAGGTTGAAACGTGAAAAAAAAAAAAGCTTTTAATACCATAGAATTAATTAGAGTGTTTATAATTTTATATACTAATTTACTAAAACTTTTTTTATATATTAATTTTAAATACATTAACATTAATATTATGCATTTTATTTTATAAATATATGTAAAAAGTATTGCTTAGTTTAAAAATAATATAACAATTATATTAAATGTTTATAATAAATTACTTTACAAAAAAAACATTCATTCTCTTGTTAATTATCATTGTTAACCATTTTTTATACATTACTATTTTTACGAAATAAACAATTTGTAAAAAAGCAACCAACTTTTGATTTCATATGTTAGTGTACAACAACATAAAAGCTATATTATTGAAGATAGCTAATAAAACAAAACAGAATTATTGTTTCATGATTATTTGGTCGATAAGAATTCTTTTAAACAATAGGTAATAGTGAAAAAAGCAATTTCGAGTTTTTAGAACATTTTTGGCATAATAATAGTCAAACTTCGTTATAACGAATTTACTAGTCGCGCTATAACGAATTTTATTTGGAGCGAATATCAAAAGCTGATTGGTGGTTTTTTTTCTGTTCAAGTATATAATGATTTAGAAGGCTAATTAAAATGTATTAGCGAGTACATATGTAAACTCGATAAGTTGGCCAGAAGTTTCACCCCATTTTCTTAATATTTAAATAATTTAATTCGATAAGTCGGTTCGGTCATATGAGCTCACCCCCACACGACCGACTTATCG